TAAGAAATAAACACCTTTTAAACATATCTAGAGGGATTAATAAGTGTTTTTTTCTCTCTCCTAGAATTCCCCATCAGAAAAATCCCAGAGAAGCCCTACTCAACAAGCATAATAACGGCTCCTGTCATGAGTTTTGTCTACTCACTCATTTTTTTACTGCTGCTAGGCAAACAATAGCAAGGGTCTGAAAATGTCTTACATTTTCCTTTGAAGAGCTTGAGTCCCTAATAACCAAATGCCTAATTTACAAAATAATGTCTGCTATTCTGAGAGATCAAATCCCAACCATGGAACAGGTCTGACTTCTTTGGATAACATAAAATCTACAACTTAAAGTCACACTAAACTCAGGAACTAAATCTTAAAAATGCATTCAGGTCCCCTAACTATTAAAAAAAGCTTATTTGTGTATCACTCGGCTATAGATCCTCAAATCATCTCCAAATTGGTGCTGACACTGTCCTTTCTTCTGGAGGGTGGCTACTTTTGTTCCCCATGGTCCCTGTATGTATTTTATAGTATCCACCGCTCCAAGCTCACTCCTGTAATGGACTACAATCTCATGCTTAGTTTACAAATTTGTATTGAAATTATAGTCTATCACAGGAGTGAGCTTGGAGCGGTGGCTACTTTACAACCCACACAGGGACCATGGGGAACAAAAGTAGCCACCCTCCAGAAGGAAGGACAGTGTCAGCACCAATTCAGAGATGATTTAAGTATCCACATCTGAGTGATACACAAATAAGATACATTTTTGTTAATAGATATAGTACTTCAATGCGTTTTTAAGATTTAACTCCTGAGTTTAGTCTCCCTTAAAATATGACTCAAGTCACACTTTCTCTATTCCCTGCCCCCTACCTTTTTTCCCTCCCCCTTACTTCTCCCCTCTTTCCTTGCTTCTGCCCTTCTTCCCCCCACCATAACCCTCTTTTTATGCTGCTCATCTCTGTTCCATCTCCCACTGCCCCCACCCCCTTATCTGAAATCTATACCCAAAACCCACTCTCCCTTCTTGCAATCCTCCTCTTCTTACAGTTCTCTTCACATCCTGGCATGCAAATTGCATTTTCCCTTTCATTGAAGGGTTTGATTTCATGGGATGTATAGCATTCTCATAATATTCCTTTTGTATCATCTAGGAAGTGTGCTAACCCATACATATACCCAGACATTTCTCTTTGTATTGATAAATGCAAAAACCTTTAGTATAAAGCTATTGAAACAGTGACAAAATGAATAAACCTCGGCCCCAACAAGTAAAAGTGCTATTAACCTTGGCTTATTTAAGTGATAAATACTGTAATGGAAAAGGGCCAAATACTTGCTACATGTAATATAGTTACTGTGCCTTCTTAACAAACTTTAAACAATGACTGAGCACAGCATGACACAAACTTTATGTTA